TAATAGGCACCTGAAAAGATGCTCAACATCAATAGTCATTGGAAGGCCACAAATTAAAACCACAATAAAATGCCATTACATGTGCCCTTGTATGGCTATCATCAAAATGACAAACATTACCCATGTCTGATAAAGATGTGCAGACCGGAACACACACACTGCTGACAGGGACATAAAATGGTATAGACACTTTGGAAAACTGCACGGCTATTTCCTGAAAAGTTACACATACACTTACCACACAATTGCAACAATTAACTTCCAGATATCTATTCAAGAAAAATGACAACATAGGTCCTCAAGGAGGCCTGTACGCGAATTTCACAGCAGCATCACTCCTCATACGTAAACACTGAAGACAACTCAAATGATCATCAACTTTGAATGGATAAATGAATGTGGTATATCCATACAATGGAATACCACACAACAATAAAAAGAAGTCAACCACGGACACATGCCACAACGTGGATGAATCTCAAAAGCATGCTAAGGAAAGAAGCCAGATGCAAGAGATTACATACCATATGATGATATGTACATGAAATATCCAGAAATGGTAAATCTGTGCTGACAGAAAGATCAGTGGTTGTCTGGGGCTGGGGACAGGAGCCGGGAATGACTACAAACGCGCATGAGGGAACTTTTGAGGGCTAACGGAATGGCTCTAAGATTGGATTATGGTGATGGTTATGTAACTGTATAAATCTGCTAAAAGTGACTGAATTGTATAGTTACAAAGGGTGGCTTTTTGGTATGAAAATTCTACTTCAATACACTGTAAAAAAATAATGGAAAAAAAAAAAAGACACTTCACGTTAAAGTGGGAATTGGGGCACCTGGTTAGTTCCGTCGGAGGAGCGTGCAATTCTTCATCTTGGGGTCACGACTTCGAGCCCCATGTAGGGTGTGGAGATTACTTAAAGAAATAAAACTTTAGGGGGGAAAAGAGAAAGAGGCATTGATCTTCAAATATGGGTGATGGAAAGGGTGAAGTCCATTCTGGCATAAAGATGACAGTCGAAAAACATTTGTACAATGAATAATGAGCTTCTGAACTTGGCTAACTGGGAGAGAGAAAAAAAACTACAATATTCATGATTTTCTTCATTTCACTATTATTTAACTTTCTAACCGCCTTGGTTTCCTTTGTTGCAAAATAAGAATAATAATAGTACCTCCTTCACAGGGATAGAATGAGGCCTAATGAGATGATGGACACAGTGCTTTCAGTATAACGCCTGGCATGTAAGTGCTAAATATTAAATATTAGTCAGGGCTCCTGGGTGGCTCAGTCGGTTAAGTGTCCGACTTGGGCTCAGGTCAAGATCTTGCGGTTTGTGAGCTCAAGCCCCACATCGGGCTCTGTGCTGACAAGCTCAGAGCCTGGAGCCTGCTTTGGATTCTGTGTCTCCCCATCTCCCCGTGTCTCAGCCCCTCCCCTGCTCATGCTCTGTCTCTCTTTGTCTCTCAATAATAAATAAATGTTAAAAAAATTAAATATTAACTATCAGCAATCATAAAAATATTCAGATTGCCTCTCTAGATGTTAAGATACTTAACAAAACACATTGATATTGCTCTACTTCCACGGCTATGAAATTTCCCTAAAAGTAAAAATAGAACCACAATGAACTTTGTCAACCTTATTTGTAATAAAATTATTGACACTGGAGAAATTTTGGTTTTCCAATCAGATTTTAAAAGATAAATCCATTTGCAAGGACCACAGTGACATATTTTAAAAACACAAAATGAGACATATCCATTGGCATGCACAAAAACTAGCTGATTTAAATACATGTTTATCAAGAAGCATAATGGTTTTATGGAAACCAATTTGACAATAAATTTCATATATATAAAAAAGAAGCATAATGGTTTGCTAAAGACATCAGTTAAATCTTACGCAGTAAATAGGAAAAAAATGTAATATCCTAACTTCTTGTTTTTTTGCAACTTACCTATTGTTTGTAAGTTATCACAGAATTACAGGATTTAAGGATTCCAACTAGGCCAATGATCTCTTTTTAAGAATTTTCTCTCATAAAGAACCTATCCTACTTTAAAAATAGTGAAGAATCCATAACCTACTTGGTAGCAAGCGCTTATCTTTCCGAAGAGTGTTCTTTACTTCTGTTCTTTCCTGAAAAGAAATCCACTTTGCTTTTGGAGAATGCAAAGCACTGGCTTCATTATAAGATGAGGGTTATCTCAGGTGAATTACACAGTTGCTCAGATAACCAGTTTCAAGGACAAATGGGGACAAGAATGACTGAGAATTGGTACACCGCACACCTGGGTGTGCCTCCTGTTGGAGAGAGAAGAGCTCAAGAAACAGGGACAGGGACATGGGGACATACTTAGGGCCCGTGCAACGTAGCGTAAGAGAGAAGCTATGGCCAGAGGACACTTGTCTATTTTGTAGTGTTTAAGAGGTAAATAATCAGCGAAGCAAAAACAAGGACAGAGAGTTAACTTCAGCTGGAAAAGAGGTGGGCTGCATTAACATGCTCTGTCTTCACATTGATAATAGTGACCTTAGGAGAAGGTGTGAATAGGTCAACTGCATTAAGTATTACTTTACTGGGCTTGAAATGTTTTATTAGAAACAAAGTATTTCTGGGGACTCCTTCTGACTCCCAATTGTTTGCGTTTTTCTTATGAGTTGCTTCAGTTGCATAGCAATACGCAATTATTTGTGGTCTGAAAGGACGACTTTACATCTTTAGAGATCATTGGTATTTGGGCAGACCAAAACCCTGGACAGCCAAGTCCCTTGCCTATAGTCCTTGGGCCCTTTCGAATGCTCCCTCTCTGTAAAGCGAGCTTTCATGCTACTTTAACTTCCCGATCTCCTACGCTGATAAACTTTTGCCTGCTGCTCACTTAGAAAAAAGAAAGAAAAGAAACCATTGGTATTTTCATACTTACTTACACTGGGTCTAAAACTGTGTAATCTGCATCTCACAAACCTATCATTTTAGTCACATTACTAGCACTGACACTTGTGACATATTCAAAACTGTGACAAGAATTATTGCTAGAACATAGCAGATCAAGTAAAGGTTTGAGCTTCGAACTTTCGGGGTCCTTGCTGCTTCAGTAAGTAGCAGCTCCATACAGGGTGAGCGGTCAGCTGCTGGCAGGGGCGGGGAAGCTCAGAGGAAGCCCATCTGTTCTATCACCAGAACAAAGTCATAAGCCTCCCCTCTGTCCCCTTCTCCTAGAGAGAAGGAAGTCTAGGAAGATTCCTTGGGAATCTACTTTCTCCTGGATAAAATGGGATGTGGGAGGAGCGAAGGCTCACAGTGTCAAGTTAACCCAGGCAGGGCTCTCTCCTGCCTCTAGGGGAAATCCCACGCAGCCCATTTGCCTCTAGAGACAGCTCTACCTGAGCTACTATTTTCAATAAAGATTAGTATCTGTAGCAAGAACAGAACTGAAACATGGCCAGCACACCTTTTATTACAGAAATAAGAATGTTGAGACACTCAGAGAGACCCGGGCGTCAAAACCATTTCTATTCTCTGTGTTTTTTATATGACGTGTTGGAGAATTAACTACATTTCTAAAATCGACGATTTTTCCTCTTTGCTGCTTTGAAAAGAGCAGGTAATTCTACCAAGCATGAAGACTGAAAGCTCATTTTCACATCTCTTCCCATGGTTTGCTTGTATATTTGCAGAATTTCGATTGCCGTAAAAGAGGACGTAACATCTTAGAGCCAGCTTTTCTCATTCGATCAATACAATATCCGAAGCCCAGAGTGCCTGTCCCCCCTCCTCCAGGTTACAAACAGGACTCTGCATCAGAGGTGGGATTAACATCCAGCCTCTCAGCTCCCCCCAGCACTCTGAACCATGCCTCACTGCCTCTGTGAATTCACGTTACATAGAAGCCAGAGCCATGTCCACGCAATGGGGTTTAGCTTTAGTTGATGTGTACACAAAGCAAAAGGCATTTACCTTTTTACATTTTTCTGGACAAATCTAAACATGATGGAAGGCTTTACATGGCAGATGGAGAGACAACAAAGCAAAGATGAATTTGGTTGGCATAAACAATGATTCGGATCGGTACACCTACAACCTCCGTGAAATCCGATGGTTAAAGGAACAAAACATAATTTTTTAAGCACACTGTGGACAGGTATATTCAAATGCTTACAAAAGGTGGGAAGAAGCTACGTTACGAACAATAAAAACTTTACAAATGACATTAGCCTTTCAACAATACATTATTCCAATAGTTTATTTTTGTTAAGATAGGGATATTTTCTCAGTAAATTCAAATAGTTAATTTTATAACAGTGAATGGATAAGCTAGAGCTAGAAAAGTTAACACCCAGCACTATCTTTAAATTTCAGGTGGAAAAGTGGTTGATTGGAACTTCTCTCTTTATGAGCCAAAGTGTTGAAAGAAACAAATTTTGAATAGAACTGTGTATCTGGTTCTTTCATATTTCAAATGTGAAAGTCCTCTGATAGAGAAAATTCCACGTTTCTGCACCTGTTTTGATGTCATTACAGTCAAAGGCAACATTTGGATCCTAGAATGCAGCTGGTCAAAACATCAGTGATGGAAATTTAAGAAATTGGCTTTTCCACTAACAGAAAACCAGTCATCAAACAAATTCAACATGATTACGGTGACTAAAGCAAAAACATCACGTGTAGTGGTGTCACAGCTCTTGCTTGGCGCATATATTAATAAATTTTCAAATATCAAACAATATAACACCAAGATCTACTAAAACCAACTAGCACAGAAAGATTCCTAAAGCACTGTTAATTATGAACATCATAAAAACCGAATCCCATATGAATTCCGTAACCAAGCACACCCTCTGTGCTGCACAAGCCGGTCCGAGCACGTCTTTCTTCAGGAATTCTCCAGCATCTCAAAGCAAACTCGGGCCGAAGCCCCCAATTCCTTACTGAATTCACTGCATCTTCTGAACAGGTCCTCACTTAGGGACATGGACACACACACACTTCTCACAATTTTGAAAAAAATGGAAGGCCTTCGTACATGTCAGTTTTTAGTTTTATCCAATCGTTAATTTTCTGCAGAGTTGTTTTTTCTTGACTTAGTATTTTTGCAAGTTTTTTCATTTTTTCTTCGTTTCTTTCGATGTACTTCAACCCTTCCAGCTGCAGCTGATTGAGCTTTTCATTTCGGCTTTCGTCTAGAGGTATGTTTTCACACATCACAGGATTAAATCTAAAATAGGTGTCAGGAGGTAACAGACCATCAAGCATCACATGGACTTCTGTTAAAACAAAGAGAACAGGGTAGATGAGAAAATTGACTTACTCTGCAATGATCTAATTTTATCCTTATTTAAAATTATCTTCTTTTAAGGCAAATTACAAAGCCTTCCTTATTTCATCACTCCAGCCCATTAAAAGTAGGTTTAAGGAATCCATAATAACGAATCTAAGGAAATTCATCTCCCAAGATACTTCTTCCTGTAATTCTGCTACTTGCTCCTTCACGCTCTTGTCGCTGTTTTCAGTCATACTGTTAGCCACCGCTGAAATGCCTTTCCAACTTGTTTTGTTTTTAATGTTTATTTATTTTGTGAGAGAGAGAGAGGGAGGGAGGGAGGGAGGGGCAGAGAGAGAGGAGAGAGAGAGAATCCCAAGCAGGCTCCACACTGTCAGCACAGAGCCAAGAGCGAGGCTCCATTTCACAAACCTTGAGATCATAACCCGGGCCGATATGAAGAGTCAGATGCTTAACTGACTGAGCCACCCAGGCGCCCCTCTTTTTGTTTTTAATTTGGGGTATCATCTTTATGGAGGTATAATCTATCTACGATAAAATTCACCAGTTTTAAGTATATAATTTGAGAAGTTTTGACAAATGTATACCTTTGTGTAATCACAACAATCAGGACATAAAACATTTCGATCACCCCCCAAAGTCCTTAATGCCTTTTTTATAGTTCCTCCTCTCCTTACTCTTTGGCTCTTCTAGAATTTCATACAAATAGAATCAGAAATACATAGTTCTGTGTCTAGCTTCTTTTACATAGCAACACGCTTTGGAAATTCATCCCTGTCATAGTATGTATCATTGTTCCTTCCTTTTCACTGGTGAGTAGAATTCCATTGCACAGATATACACCACAGTTTGTTCTTTCCAGTTGTGGTTCTCTCCGGTTTTTAGCTAGTTGGAACAATCCTACAGTAAGAATTTACATATAAGTCTTCTTGTGGATATATGATTCCATCTCTCTTGAGGGAATACTCTGGGATGAAATTGCTCCATCATATGGGAAAAGTGTGTTTATCTTTTTTTTTTTTATATAAAGCACAGTAGACAATGTTACATGTTTACCTTTTTAAGAACTGCAACACCGTTTTCCAAATGGCCACAGCATTTTGCATTCCAACCATTAATATATCAGAGTTCCCACTGTTCACACCTGCCAAAACTTGGTATTGTCAGCCTTAATTTTAGCCATTCTAGAGAAGGTGTGGTGGTATTTTGTGGTTTTACTTTTCATTTCTCTCATGACTAATGATGTAAATATCTGCGTATGTTCTTCTATAAAGTGTTCAGATATTTTGTCCATTTTTTTCTGAATGTTTTCTTTTATACATTATATTTATATATGTATATATGTATATATATAATTCTCTGTACAGTTTAGATCTGTTTATGTATTTGGTTCTGATAATGGATCAGATACATGTTTTGCTAGTATTTTATTTCAGTCTACAGCCTATCTTTTCATTTTACTAAGACTGTCTTCTGAAGAGCAAAATCTGTAATTTGATAAAGTCTATTTTTTTTTTTTTTTTTTTTTTTTTTTTTTTTTTTTTTTTTTGGTTCATGTTTTTTGTGTCCTATCTAAACAATCTTTACCTAAACTAACGTCATTTAGATTTTCTCCAGGGTATTCTTCTAGAAGTTTTATAGTTTTAACTCTTATATTGAAATCTATGATCCATTTCAGATTAATTTTTGTATATGGTGTGAAGGGTCAAGGTTCACTTTTTTGACTACAGCTACCTAACTGTCCCTATACTATTGGTTAAAAAGACCATCCTTTCCCATTTAGTTACCTTATTAAAAATCTTTTGAGCTTCCATGTATGGATCAATTTCTGTACTATCATGTACCATTCATTGATCTAAAGGTCTAACCTTATGCAAATACACAGTCCTTTGCTTACTGGAGTTTTATGGTCTTGAGATCAGAGGGCAGAAGTCCTCCAACTTTGTTCTTTTTCAAAATTGTTTTGGCTCTTCTAAGTCCTTTGCACACCCATATAAATTTTACAGTCATCTTGTTAAATCTCCACCCCAGAAAAAGGCTGTCTGCGTTCTCATAGCAATTGCATGGTGTCTATAGATCTATTTGTGGTGTTCCACTGAAACAACACTGACATTTTCCAATTCATGAATACGGTATATCTACTGATTTACTCAGTATTTCCTTAATTTCTTCCAGTAATATAGTTTTTAGTGTTCAGGTCTGGCACATTATTTGTTAAATAATTCTTTCAGTGTTTAATATTCTCATGCTATTATAAATGACGTCTATCTTTGTATATATTTAATTTCAACTTCCAGTTGTGAGTATGCAGAAATATAATTGATTTTTACTGACCTTGTGTTCTCCAACTTGTTGATTCTAGGAGATTTTTAATAGATTCCTTGGGATTGTCAACATAGACCATGGTGTTATCTATAAATATTTACTTCACATCTAATCTATCTGCTTTTTATATCCTTTTATTGCCTTGTAGTACTGGTAAGGACCTCCAGGACAATGCCAACTGGAAGTGATGAGAGACATCTTACTCTGCTCCTGATCTTAAATAGAAAGTATTCAGTCTTTCACCATTAAATATAATGCTAGCTCTAGGTTTCTTGGGTTTTTTTTTCATTCTTTATAAATGTCCTTTGTCAGGCTGAGGAAGTTTCCTTCCGTTCCTAATTTACTATGAGTTTTTATCATGAATGGATGTCAAATTTTGTCAGAGTCTTTTCCACATCTATTGAAACTACCACAAATTTTTCATGTTTTAGTCTATTAATATGGTAAATTATATTGATGTTTTTAAATGTTAAACCAACTCTGTATTCTTGGGATGAATCCTACTTGGTTATGCTGTATTCTCCTTTTTACGTATTTCTGAATTCAATTTGTTAGAATATATTAAGAATTTCAGCATGAGGAAACTAATCAGGAATTGGTATTTTTATGTACTTTACAATTTTTTTTTTTTTTTT